AAATATTCTGCAGTTCAACTTTAATTCTACCATCATGGCTCAGGAATTGTATGAAACCAGTATCGATAGTTTCTATTTAGTGTGCTGCACTGCTAGTTCAAGCAAGAAAACTGAGTAGCTGAAAACTAAACAGTTACCGAGTATTTTTAACCTTAAAAATTACGAGGGAAAAATAACAACATGTAGTCTTGCAAAGATGAATGAACAAAGTACTGCTATTCCCTTCAGCACACTCTCAGAGAACTTGGTTCAGGCTTGGTGTGTCTTGGGAAAGAAAAAAAAAAAAAAGTTATTACATTTGATTTTCTAAGTAGTGGGTTTTTTTTAAAAACAAAGTGTCTTTTCTGGTAATGGGCATTACTCCACTTCCAGGCCTATAACACTGGAGCTAAAATTACATGCGTTATAAATACAATCTGTCATAAATTTACATGGTGCCAGTCAGCAGTTTGAAATGTAGGGTTTGCTTCCTATACATCTAGAACAAAGACTTTGGTGGATTTGAAATTTAGCAAATTGTTAACATAAACACAGAGTAATGGTAAGAAAATTATCTAAACTTCTGCAAAAATACAAGTACCAATGATTTTGGACATATCACACTTTCTCCCTCTAGTTCATATTTTTTATTCTCTTTTATGTATCCTTTTACTTATAGTGGTAATTTTCTTTGTTTATTTTACTTTGATCTTTTAGGGGAAAGGGCCTGTGCTTAATTTATTTGTAGAAAGGAGGCTAGTACCTATGGCTCAATGTGTTTGGATCCTCACATTCTGCCTTCTTGAGAATATGTATGGTAGCAGCTTCATTCACTTGCTACCCTTGACAATTCCAGTTATACTTTTCCTAAAGCTGCTCTGCAGGAGTGGGGCCCAATACAGCAAAGAAAAGATTTCTACAGACTGGCAAAAAAAAAGAACAATACACTCAAATTTAATGTTTTAACTAAATCCCCTCAGCACAGAAATAGCAAAGGATTTTCCTTCACACAGGATTGTCATTATGAGTAAGCTGGACTTAATAATTATAGGCTAATAATATGAACATGAGCAAATGAAGGCAAAGCAAAGAGGCAATGTATTAAGGCAGACAGTGCATAATTTCTGGAATATCTGTAGTGCACACTTTTTGCAACAGCTTTGGGCAGTTGAAAGCAATGGAACACCTTGCTGCTGACAATGAAATATACTCTGAAATTTTCTATGATGGCTCAAAGAAACTAAAAGCTAAAACTATCTTCTTGAAGGGCTGAGAAAGAAGGGAGCTTTTCTTCATGTGCAAAGATCTCTATGGGAAAGAAAGCAAGCCATGACATTTAATGATAGCTGTGCAGTACTGCTTAATTGTAGATGTTGGTTTTATCTTTTATATTTTCTCTCCCATTGTCATTAAAAAAATCTCCATTGAAACTAAACTAGCTTTGAAGTTTAATCCAAAGTGTATTGAAGCGAGCATATTAATTTTAGTAGGTTTTGCATCAGCTGTTTGGTATACTGCATTTCTCAGAGCCACATAATATTTGGGAGCAGTATACATATACTTCTCTGCATACTAGAGAGGCCTAAATGTTACTATCAAATAGAGAAAGAAACGATGTCATCTTCATACTGAATTCCGTGTGTGTGAAGCATTTTATAAAAATGCAGATTTGTTATGTTGTTATGGTGGTTGTTATGGTGTCACATACCTGGCAGAAATCAAGATTTTTTTTTTTTCTAATTTTTTTTTTTTTTTTTAATGTGAATGCAGTGTACCTAAAAAACAGTCTGGCTTTGTAGGATTTCTCCAGAAGTGAGAATCTGGAAAAGATGCAAATGCTTGGTAGTCTCACAACAGGAAACATTCCTCCCACCCCCCCTGCCATTCAGACGAAAACCAGCCACACTTTACCCTCCAGAACAAATGCTTTTGTCCTAATTTGGTGTATGGTCATGACCACATTTTTCAGTAATGATTGTGACATGCAAAGGACATGATTCAGCAAGACCCTAAAGCGCGTGTCTCACTCATAGCACATTTATATTCCCATTGATTTTATTTGAAAGGAGCTGCTAAGCAACTGAGTCAAGGTAAGTACCTGCCTGTGTAAAGCCAGCAGTATACTTTAAACTCTTGAATTGAGGGCTGATAAAGGGTAAGTGCCTACGTTCCTTTATAAACTTGTTTTATCATCATTTTCAGGGAAAAAAAAATAAACTAAGCAGATTTCCTTTAGGTTCACTAGGTGACTACTGGAAATGATTACTTCAGGGTAATAGAAACCAAATAATCTTTTTTCCACGTTCTCTTGGAACACCACCAGCCACAAGCACAATGGGGGGTGGAGGGAGGAAAGTCTTGCATCCCATTGTCTCCACAGGACTCACTGTTCCCTACTGAACATTAGTGTCAATTTTTCCAACAGCGTACAGATTTGTCAGATGGAAGGTGTCTTTCTGCCAAAGATAATGTGTATGTTTTGAGTGTATGGGTTAAGAAGAAAATTGTATCACTAGCATATGGCTGGCTTGTTTTTTAAGCACTTCAATAATCATTTCTACCTTGTAGTCTGTGGATGTTTGAAGTACTTTAAATTGTATTAAATACTAGCTTCAAACATCTCAACAAAGTAGTATTGCTATAGGGATCTCAAAATTATGTACAACCTTTTAAATATCTTTTTTTTTTTAAAGATCAGTGTTGAAATAAGTTCTTTGAAAAAGCTCTAGTGGTCAGCTTTTTTTGTGGGAAGTTTCTGGTATCTGGTTTTGCTCCTCCTAGAACATGACAAAGTGAAACTAAAGGAAAACATTTTTTTCCTTCTCTCTGAACTTATATTAACAATGTGCTTTTTTTCCAAAAACAGAAGAGAGTTTCAAGACCATACAAATATTACTGTCAAACTTTAAACCCCTGAAAATAAAGGCAGGCTACAGAAAACAAAGTCTATTGAGTAGAAGCTGTTTTTATCAGGCATTAACTTCAGTGATGCTGTGAAAAGCTGTTCCAGTGTACGTTTGCTATGCAAGCATCAAACAGGAACACATTTTCAGGCTGCCTCTTCCTGTATGATACTAAAGGAAAACTGTTTTCAGACTTAATCTAGGAAGGTTATTCCTCATCAGTAGCTCAGGTACAGAATACATATATATTCTCTGTCCTCTACGTCACCAGGGTATGGCTATTTCAGAGACGTGCTATGTAATAACAGTCAGGGGTTAGAGACTTCAAAGGCTTGCAGTAAGAAGAGTGACCTGACTGTGAAGAGAGATAGATAGCTTAAGTTTTACATTTGAGCCCTTATCAGCCACAGGTTTGTGTCTCTTAATGATTCCTCTGTACTTGTCATTATTCAGTTACAATTCCACCTTGGCAAGTGCTGCCACAGAGGAACCTTAAAAAAACCCCTTCTGATGTCCTAATACCAACACGACTTTTCTGGAGCTGCATTGGTAATAGCAGTAGGAGGAGAGAAGAGTCAAAGAGGAAAGACAACTTCAGAGGAGGTCTAGATAGATGCTCTATTCTAGGCCACCTCCCAGACTGAATACGTTTGGATTTGTAGTATTTCAAATGCTCATGGTCTGTTGTGAACATGACTGTCCCTAGCTTGCATGGACCTCACCACCAGTACAGACAACTAATGAATATTTTTTTTCTGGCATCGTTAAGAAGACAGACTGGTTTTGGGGAAAAACATGACAAAATGCACACACACAACCAGGGGCCTGCTGTCAATCATTTCTCCTACTCTTCTATTACACTAAGCTATTCTGGTGACATAGGCCACATACAAAAAAAAAAAAAAAAAAAAAAAAAAAAAAAACCCCAGCACATTACTGAATACAGAAGTAGTATACTGCTCTTCTCTGCTCTGCCTAAAGAGTGGATGAATTATTATTTACATTGGCAAATGTTTTCCAGCTGCCTCACCAGCTGGAAATTCAACAATTTGGCTCTGTTGTAATATACACTGTCAGAAAAGGACATGACAGTGCTGTCCCCAGGAGGAAAAAAACTTGCTGGCCTGATTTCCTACAACTGGAAACTAGAATGTCTGTCCCTGGGGCTTTTACACAGTTGAGAACATAAATTTAAGTCATGCTGGGAAAAAGAAAAAGAACGTGGGCTCCTTTTGCTGAGATCCTTGAAAATACAAACCACTGCCTTATGAAGACTGAATAAACTCTGAAAAGGTTTCTGTGGCCAAGTTATTTTCACTATATCTGTCAGACTAGGAAAGCACATTTTCTGAGGACAAGAGAGCAGAGCTGTTTGTGGTCCTTATTTAGATGGCATTATAACCCAAAATGGCTGGGTGACCTTGCTGGTGGTTCCAGCCAAAGGACTTAACATGAGCCATAGCAAGACAGAAAGCTGTGGGATACCTGAGGAAGCCAGAACTGCTCTGAGTGCAATGAGTAGACAGAGAAGTTTGGGGGCAATTCCAAACTGCCAAATTCTCAGTCTTATTAGTTCCTCCTCACTCAACTTTCTGAACGATTGCTGATCATCTTATATTGGCATGAAGACTGACTCTCTTTTGTGCTCAGGATATCATTGACTTTTGTAATGAACGCTGCTTCTGTGCTGTTTTGCAGTGCAACACAATTCGCGTTAAAAGAGAGAATGGAAAAAGTTGCAGCAATTTTGATCCACCCCACCCTCCACTGCAAAAATGACTTTTCTCTGCATTAGATTTTGGATTACAGTTAAAGCTATCAGCAGTAACCTCTGAAAAATAGCCTATGGCTGTTTTGCTGTTCACGGGGCTTGTACACTGCACACATCTTGGCGCACAACAGTTAAAAGTTTTGTGCAGCAATTTGAAGTGTCCTGCGAAAACAGCAGCTCTGGTTTTAGAACCAGAGCACTACCATAATATTGGTTTTACTAGCTCAAGGTTCAGTTTCAATATAATAATAAATAAAAAAACCCTGTTCAAACAGCTCCTTAAAAATACAGTATTTTAAAAAAGAAACTGCATAGATAGGAACTATTCCTGTTGAGGGAAGTGACTATAGGCCATGCAGTCTCTCCCTCCTTGAAATGAGGAAGAGGAGAAAGAGAAATGACAAGAATCAGACACTGCTGTCCTGAATTATGAAGTTGGCACTCAACATCATGTAAGTGGACTGATCTGTTCTGTAACATGTGCGCGCTGCTCTCAAGAAGGGCATGCATGCAGTCGTTTCAGGCGTGTCATGGCTGGCAGTTTGTTTTCTGATTCACTGTTGTTTAGAAGCTGCGTAACTAAGTCTGTTTTCATCTAACCAGTGATAGCTGTGATACTGTTAGTATCTTCTGAGAAAATGGGGCCAAAATTTCTATACTTCTTTTAGGGTAAGAAGTGAGGATTGTATTAAAACCAAAGCTCCCTTGTAAAAACAATGGATTCTTGTCATTCTTATGCTATGAATTTGACACACCCTGTAATATAAATAATGTTATCCTCGAATTACACTGTCCAAACTAAGTACTTTTCAGCCATTTGAGATAAACTTAAGTAAAACTCCATGCGCTGGTTTTGGAGTGAGGATTTCCTAGAATCTGGCCTCTGCTTCACATGGGACTTTGGCAATGAGCCAGCCCAGCCCAGGTACGTGTGAGCTGGAGGGCCCCAAACAGTATCTTTTCACGTAACTGCCTTTGCCCAAAATATTCTTATTCCAAACTTCCTTGAAAATTATTAGTAATTATTGACTTTAGTTTTACTTTCTATTTGGCTTTAAGAAACAGTCCTTTAAGACTAAGACCTTTAAGAAGCTCCTGTGTACAATTTCCTTCTTTGCATTATATATATTGATTTGCCAAAGGATATTATGTCGTGCTTCAGAAACTTATTCTCAGAATTTTAGTGAACTGGAAATTTAATAGATTGCAGGCTTTCAAACTTCAGATTTTACTTGGAATTAATCCAGTGGATTTGTCTCTCGTATATTTAACATTTAATTAATAGAAAACTAATTCTTAAAATGTGAATAAAATTACAGTGGTTACCCAGCTACAAAGACTTATACTAAACTACCTGCAAAAAATAAAGAAAGATGATTCTCTGAAGTAAATGCTGTTCAAAGGAAGGCTATGAATCAGGCACTGTATTACGTACAAGGTTTAGGTAACTACCTAAGTGGTCTGATAGCCAAAAGCCACGGTGAGGCTGCTTTCAGTGAGAATCACTAGCCACTCTCTTTAATATATGAACAGTGTGAAGCACCTTCATGGGTAATTTTTTTATTTCTAAGAAATAGCTAAGAATCCTCAGCAGTAACTTATACTGAAAAACTATTCAGTAGAGAAAGCCACCTGTTGGGAGCAGTTCCATCAGCAGATATATTTATTGAGAGATGACACCATGATTAAATTAAAAGAATAAATATCAGTTCACTCCCAAGACCTTGAATTTTGCCCCTACCTGTCCAAAAGGCAGTAGTATTTGTTTTCTTTTTATTTCAGCCTTGAATTATATCACTGCTTGCTTGTGGAGCGTTTTGGTATACATTCAGTAATGTAAACCTGCTATAAAGAACAGCTTTTGCTATTCAACATTTTATTTAAAATTTTCTTGGAATGCTCTGCTTTACCAACAAAAGGCATGAACTCAAACTCATATGTTTTTCTTGGAGAAGTCCATAGTAATTTCATTAGAGCTACCATAGAGGCTCATCTGAGTTTACCCTTTGTATATATGGAAATGAGGTTTTAGTTATAGTTACAAAGTGAGAGGTAAGAGAAAAAAGAAGGGAAAGCTATCTGAGAGGAGTGGGAAGACATAAAATAGTGTGAGGGAAATCAAACATTTTCCAGACATAACTTTTTTCTTTTTTATTTTATTCCCAATTTCAGTGATGACAAAACTGGCATTTTGTCTCTGACTGGTTTGCTTCCCTGAGTCTGACAGTCTGTTAGTTATGTCAGCAATGTTAGTCCGACCCAACCATTGCAGAAATGGCTTCATCTTCTCTCTGCTTTTTTATTGGCATTCCCACCCTGGAGTCTTCTCAAAGCCCTCTTAATGCATGACAAATATATCACCTGACATGTCAGCAAAGATGCGTGACCACATCCCCTCTTTCACAAGCAGTCTCACTAGTCCCGTGCTTGCTTGAGGAAATGCTTCAAAACTTCTCTTTCTTTTCTAAAGGATAATGGGATTTATTCATCACGTATTAGTCTATCCTGCTGCTACTATAGCTTGCTCTCAGTGGAGTTACTACTGGTTTACAGCAACAGGCAAGTGAGGATGCTAAGTTATGCAGCTGAAAATAGCCATGAAACTAGGCCTCCCCTTTTCTCTGACTCTTCCCAGCTTCTAGCTGTGCAGCACTCATGTGGCCTGTCTCTCCATGTAATTTCACTGATATTCATCTCTAACTTTCACATTTCTTGTCATTTAGACCACATTCTACATGTCCCGATGCTTCAACTTTTTGTACATCAGCTAAAGTTTACTCTCTTCTTCACAACTGTTTATGCTTAAATTCACACTCCTACTTGTGTCATTAAAGCTGTAATTACCACCCAACTGTGCAAAGCATTTTGGGGCAACAACATGGAAAATAAAGCTGTAGCACCTAGTAGTAGTGATCAATGGTTGTAGTTAAAAGTTTGGAAATTGAGGTGTTACCTAATGTCACTCATACTCCTCCTGGTATTTATTCTTCTTATTTATTTTCTGTAGAAATGGGATAGGGTTAGCATGCTTTTACATCATGGAATACAGGTGGAACAAATACAAAAATGTAAATTATGGGGGAAAAATGCAACAACTTCAGTGCATGCCAGCATTTCAAAGCCAAGGTCATGTACTTTTAACATCTATGGCACCCTGAAGGCCAGCATCCTGCTGCTCCCTCCAATTCCCATTTATGTAATTATCAGGCATGGAAGGATAAACGCAGCTAAGCTAAGCTAACTCTTTCTCTAAACTGTGGGCCAGTAATCAATAATTTTGATTTTGAGAGCCTTTCTGTTGATTTTAAATTTTGTTACTGGTACAGTGGATTCAAAGAAAAGCAAACAAATCACCTGTTTCATAATTTGCTTTATTTCTGTAAACAATATTTTTGTTTGTTTTCCCTGCCAGTGCATGTTCTTGCCTCCTGTCTTCTCTGTAGGTGTCCCTTTGAGGCTTTGGATCTGTGACAAAGAAGGGGTGAGGCTGTATGACATCCTTTCCCATTCATTCAAGCTCAAGTTACTGAAGCACGTCCACAGTAGCTCATATTGTCTTCCCTTTCCACTGCTGAAATTTCATAGATGACAAGTCCTGAGGTATCCAAAAGAGGTAGCTAGTAACTTAAGGACGCCTTGGCTTCCTGATTCTTCCTGCTGATCATGGAAGAATTTCAGGAGTTTAAAATTTGTCATTTCCACTTCCATGTACAACAGAGGTGAAAGAAAGGGGGAACTTCACCCCAACTGCCTACTAAAATAGCTTCAGAAGAGCTTGTATTACTGAGCTAAGTCTAAGTCATAGATAAAGACTGCCAATCACCAACCCAGTGGTTAAAAATTGGCCGGGACTAACATAAAAACCAGGGATCTTCATTTTCTTACATTAATCTCCTCACTGCTTCTTTCAAATAATGTCAGAGACAGTATCATTAAATTTTTCCATTCTGTTTGAGAGGAGAGTGTAAAACAAATTCCTCAGCACGTAAAGAGATTACATTAAAGTCAATATTTCCTCTTTGGTGAGGTGGGTCAGTTTTGGAATCAATCCAGTTTGCTTTCTTAAGTGTAAGCCTTTAGAGGAATTTTCAGTTTACCCCACCCAGCCAGCTAGCACAGCTTTGTTTAATGTTTTGAACTCTGCCTGACTCCAGCAGAGAATATCCCATATTTATTGATACAGAACTCTTCTATGGATATGACCATAAATTCCAGCAATCTCACCCCAGTCATGTGCTGAAGGAAGCAGCTGTCTGGCCTTTCCGTCCCATCATATCCTTTGGTATGAAGATGAGATCTTTCTGCAACCAGTGCATACAGAAAAGATGCCACAAGCAAACAGGTGCTTTCAACAGGCAGGAAGGAAGGGAGAAAAATAAGCAAACCCAAGTCTGCAAGAGAGGAAGAAGGCTGTGACACACTGTCCTTGCTTTTGAATATATTCCATTTTGAATCTTACCCCAGCCCTGCTACCAGCAAATGCCGTGTGTCTCAGATCCAATGAATGGGCTTTTGACTGCTTTAGACAGGAGGACTGGCAAGTTATGTTTAAAATAAATAATAACAAAAAAAGGAAGAGTCATTTAATAAAATAAAGACTGCCCAGCAAGAGTTTTCCTGTGGATAAGCTATACTAGCATTTGCTAGCTTTGCAAAATTAACCAAAGGTCTATGAGCCATATTGGCTTTTTTCAATATTGCAGAAAAAAAGCTTTGTGTGGAACAAATACTTCAGTTGTTGCTGCAGCATCACGCCCTTTTGCTTATGTCCTTTGATGTTTATGTAACCTTAACTCTAGAACCAATGAAAAAGTTTCATTTTTTTTCCACTTAAAATGTCAGCTTGTATTTAAAAACAAAATCAAAAAGCCTAACACTTTCCCACAAAGAGACCAACTAAAAATTTTCTAAAACAAAGATCTTAAAAACCTGCACCTTGTTTTGGCATGTAAAAAAAAAAAAATATATATTAAAAAAAAAATCACGGGTCTCTATTTAAACTAATTTCTCATATTTACACTGGTATCATATTTGAAATGACGTACTATCACTGACATCAGTACTTTTGCTTCAAAGCCTACACGTGTGCCCGTACACGTTTATATACTGTCCAAACAGGGGAGTATGTACACGTTGTTGTAAGAGAAGGGTAAGAAATGTTTAAAAAAAAAAACCAACAAAACAGAACAGGACAAAAAACAAAACTAAAAAGCTCAGATGGATTTCCATTTTTGTCCCACCTTATGAGTAAAGAAACTTTCAAATTATACTTTCTAGGTGGTGTAAAACTAGCCAGATATACTTTGAGTTATCACTGGAATTTATACAGTTGAAGCTGATTAGAGCTAACACATTAGCAGGAATGTGAAAAGAACATATATTGTCTCTACTAAAAAGTATCGGTTTTATATAAGGCCTTGGAGTTAAATAAACTTGGGCTTTAAATTAATTGCAAACAAGCCAAGTAGTCCTGAGGCAGTGAAATCCCCCAGAGGACGTCACTGTCTATTTCTAAGTGTGAGCTTTAATCACAGAATCACTACTTGCTATGTTTATTTAACCTCACTCTGATGCTTAAACACCTTTGCTTATGTCCTTGCCATAAACAAAGTTTTTGCTGCTTCAGCACTCAAACTCAGTGCCCTCTTCTATAGCCTGGGAATAGGTACATATCAACCTACTGATAGTGAAAGTACAAGTAAATCTGTGCGATGCAAATAACCACATATGGTTATATAGTAATACATCAGTAAATTAAAATCAGAAGAGAGGACTGCCAACAGGTCATATTTTTGAGATCCAGATTGGAAAATTCTGTAATGTTTAGCCATTCACTATCTCCTCAAGGTTAATTCTCCCTCTTGCTATCTCCATGAATCTCTTTAGCAAGCTGAATAATACTTGTTGGCCATTGTCAAATTAGAAATGGCATTTCTGACTTTGGTTCAGGCTCTCAGAATGAATGAAATGCAAGGACAGAATCTAGAAAAACGTTTTAAAGAACAGGAAGGAAAATATACGTCTAAGTATATACACCACAAACTCAGCTATTTTGGCATTCAAACCGCCCTAAATTCTGATTAAATCTTTGAACAAGATGATTTCAAATGAAGAAGGAAGTTGATGTTTCAAGTCATTAACTTGGGGGGGGGGGGGGG